GTTTCTCCTCTTCCTCCCCACCGTCCTTCCCTCTTCCCTCCACACATCCAGTGGCTGGTGTGATGATTCCCTCTCTCTTTTTCTGGTTCCCCACATCAGCACAAGCAGACACATGAGCACACAACAGACACACATCCACAGTCGACATCACAGTCATCACATACATCCACCATACACGCAGCACGCAGACACACAGCACACAAACAACACCCGTACACAATACCAGCACAAACAGACACAACACGCACGCGCAGCAAACAGGCAAACAGCACACAGACGTGCAGGGGGTGGTCTTTCACCGCGGTTCTCTATCCGTCTCAGGGTCGCGGGGCGTGGCAGGCGTGGCACTTTCTCGACACCAGAGAGGGTGCGCAGGGGGTGGTCTCTCACTGGTCTCTCTATCCGTCTCAGGGCCGCGGGGCGTGGCAGGCGTGGTACTTTCTCGACACCAGAGAGGGTGCGCAGGGGGTGGTCTCTCACTGGTCTCTCTATCCGTCTCAGGGTCGCGGGGCGTGGCAGGCGTGGCACTTTCTCGGCACCAGAGAGGGTGCGCAGGGGGTGGTGTCTCACTGGTCTCTCTATCCGTCTCAGGGTCGCGGGGCGTGGCAGGCGTGGCACTTTCTCGACACCAGAGAGGGTGCGCAGGGGGTGGTGTCTCACTGGTCTCTCTATCCGTCTCAGGGTCGCGGGGCGTGGCAGGCGTGGCACTTTCTCGACACCAGAGAGGGTGCGCAGGGGGTGGTCTCTCACTGGTCTCTCTATCCGTCTCAGGGTCGCGGGGCAGTGGCAGGCGTGGCATCTTTCGCGGGGCGTGGCAGACTTTCTCGACAGAGAGGGTGCGCAGGGGGGGTCTCTCACTGGTCTCTCTATCCGTCTCAGGGTCGCGGGGCGTGGCAGGCGTGGCACTTTCTCGACACCAGAGAGGGTGCGCAGGGGGTGGTCTCTCACTGGTCTCTCTATCCGTCTCAGGGTCGCGGGGCGTGGCAGGCGTGGCACTTTCTCGACACCAGAGAGGGTGCGCAGGGGGTGGTCTCTCACTGGTCTCTCTATCCGTCTCAGGGTCGCGGGGCGTGGCAGGCGTGGCACTTTCTCGACACCAGAGAGGGTGCGCAGGGGGTGGTCTCTCACTGGTCTCTCTATCCGTCTCAGGGTCGCGGGGCGTGGCAGGCGTGGCTTTTTCTCGACACCAGAGAGGGTGCGCAGGGGGTGGTCTCTCACTGGTCTCTCTATCCGTCTCAGGGTCGCGGGGCGTGGCAGGCGTGGCACTTTCTCGACACCAGAGAGGGTGCGCAGGGGGTGGTCTCTCACTGGTCTCTCCAGAAGTCTCAGGGTCGCGGGGCGTGGCAGGCGTGGCACTTTTCTCGACACCAGAGAGGGTGCGCAGGGGGTGGCCTCTCACTGGTCTCTCTATCCGTCAGGGTCGCGGGGCGTGGCAGGCGTGGCACTACACCAGAGAGGGTGCGCAGGGGTGGTCTCTCAGGGTCGCGTTCTATAGGGTGGGTCGCGGGGCGTGGCAGGCGTGGCACTTCTCGACACCAGAGAGGGTGCGCAGGGGGTGGTTTCTCACAGGTCTCTCTATATCCGTCTCAGGGTCGCGGGGCGTGGCAGGCGTGGCACTTTCTCGACACCCGAGAGGGTGCGCAGGGGGTGGTCTCTCACTGGTCTCTCTATATCCGTCTTAGGGTCGCGGGGCGTGGCAGGCGTGGCACTTTCTCGACACCAGAGAGGGTGCGCTGGGGGTAGTCTCTCACTGGTCTCTCATCCGGAGGGGCGTGGCACTTCTGCGCAGGGGGGTCGTCTCACTGGTCTCTCTATCCGTCTCAGGGTCGCGGGGCGTGGCAGGCGTGGCACTTTCTCGACACCAGAGAGGGTGCGCTGGGGGTCGGTGCAGAGACTGCGCAGCTCTCACTGGTCTCTCTATCCGTCTCAGGGTCGCGGGGCGTGGCAGGCGTGGCACTTTCTCGACACCAGAGAGGGTGCGCAGGGGGTGGTCTCTCACTGGTCTCTCTATCCGTCTCAGGGTCGCGGGGCGTGGCAGGCGTGGCACTTTCTCGACACCAGAGAGGGTGCGCAGGGGGTGGTCTCTCACTGGTCTCTCTATCCGTCTCAGGGTCGCGGGGCGTGGCAGGCGTGGCACTTTCTCGACACCAGAGAGGGTGCGCAGGGGGTGGTCTCTCACTGGTCTCTCTATCCGTCTCAGGGTCGCGGGGCGTGGCAGGCGTGGCACTTTCTCGACACCAGAGAGGGTGCGCAGAGGGTCGTTTCTCATTGGTCTCTCTATCCGTCTCAGGGTCGCGGGGCGTGGCAGGCGTGGCACTTTCTCGACACCAGAGGGGGTGCGCAGGGGGTGGTCTCTCACTGGTCTCTCTATCTGTCCCAGGGTCGCGGGGCGTGGCAGGCGTGGCATGTTCTCCACTCCACAGGGGGTGCGCAGGGGGTGGTCCGCCACCGCGGATTCTATCCGTCCCAGGGTCGCGGGGCGCGGCAGGCGTGGCATTTTCTCCGCGCCACGGGGGGTGCGTAGGGGGCAGGTATCGCGGGTGCATTCCATCAGTTGCACTTGCATGGGTTTGCGCAGTATCCAGATCTGTAAGTACTCTGGCTCAAGCCAGCTCGGAGCGCCAGGGTACCGAATCGAAGGCCGCGGTTGGTTGTTGCGCAGGCGCGCTAGCCATGCCGCCTAAAATTGCTATGGGCGAGCTGCCGCCTCCGTGCTCGTCGCTGAAGAAAGAAATTATTCAGAATGGCGGCGAGGTAAGCTTGGCAGGCGTACGCTGCTGCTCTGAAGCGACGGTGGTCCCCGCATTTCACGCGTACCGCCGCCAGCTGAAAAATTGGTGGCCCAATACCTTGCACGTCCATGACACAGCGGTATCGGCGGGGCAACGGCCACCAACATCATTCTCACATGCTGAGCTTCAGCTCTCATCACTCCAGCCATAATATAAGTATGTGGGGTTTCTCGGTAGCGTAATTTTCATGTATAGGAACAGTGATAAACCCCTCCCCGAAGGGGAAGAAGGAGGGGTAAAAGAGGAAACGCTCTTGACCACGTGCGCCCAAAGGGCTGTTGGGACTAAAACCAGTAGCATGAGTTGGTACGATATCGGCATGTCGCGTTTTGACTGAACGCGACGCGTGTTCTAAGACGGGGTCCCGATTCGAGTGAGGGGGGCGTACGATCCTGCGGCATCGCACGCCAACTCTCGATGATGATGATGATGATGATGATGCTGATGATGATGTTGAGGGGACATTATGATGATGACGATCGATTGCAGAATAGATGGCGAACGGTGCCAGAATTTACCTGACATGGGAACCAAATTGCACTGCTTTGCAATGCGGTTTGGTTCCCGCTTCGCGCCTGCACCATCGACCACCGTCGAAATCTGCACCAACCTCCTTCGACGCGTTGAGGTTCCGCCCCGCCCGCGGGCAGGGGAGCGCGACCGTTGTGCACATTGCAGTCCTGTCGCCATCCGCTTCCCGCCGCAAAATCGTTGCACCGCGTTTAGGGGAATTTAGCAAATTTCTTGTTTTCTACCGCATCATGCGCTCGCGTTGCTACAACCGCCGGTGCCCAATTGTGAAGGTCCGCGCGCGAGGGACCTGCGCCGACGCGGCGTACATGCTCGACGATGAATCATCACCACCGCCATCATCATCACCATCGCCGTCGGCATCACCATAGTCACCACCATCGTGACCTTCCATCGCGCCATCGTCACCATCGTCACCCTCCATCGTCACCATAGGCATCACCATATTCATCACCATCGGCACCCGCGGGCAGCAGTGCGGAAAGTGCTCTCATCGCTTCAACGCTGAGGGCGCACACCCTCGCCCACTCGGCCGCCTTCCCGTCATGGCTGCCGATTAGACTGTTGAAGCAGCGCCAACAGCACCGCCAGCACCAGGGAGATGATGGTGAACACCATACCACCGTCGTCAGACAGCCTCTCCTCATCCTAACCGTCACTGCCCTCTCAACCTCCGATTCTCATTTTCATCACTCATCTGCCCCCATATTCCCCGATCTCGTCATCACCACTATCATTTTCGTTCTCATCCTGTCGTTCGCCACCCGCGCGCGAGCGAGCGCGCGTGAACGGCGGTATTGGATAGCTGGGGTTCTCAGCGCTTGAGCGCGGAGACGGCCAGCCCTTAGGCCGCTCGCCCCCCCAATCATCATTAGCATCATGAGCATCATCATCATCGTCATCATCATCATCATCATCATCACCATCATCATCAGCAGCACAGCAACAGCAACAGCACCAGCAGCACAATCATCACATGAAGGTGCTGACGATGCTGCAGCATCTCTCCAGCATCATCGACAGCATGGTATCTAAAGGGTACCCTACCTCGTCGACTTCATCATCCTCCTTGATTGCCCCATTCTCCACCTTGACATTGTCGTCCTACCTCGTCTCCTCCGCATCTTCTCGCTCGCCACCACCATCTTCCTCCTCCTCCACCTCCTTCATCATCCCTCATCGCGGTCCTCCTGATAGCCGTATTCCTGAAAGCCTGAAGTGGCCCTCCTGTGATTTGCAAGGACCCTTCTGAGACCAACGAGATGCCATCATCCGGACCTTGAGGCCAACGTTAAGCTTGTACATGTAATGCTTAGAATGTACATGTAATGCGTGAAGCAAGTGTTTCGAACATGGAGCTACCCACTTTGCGATGTACTTAGTAAGTATGTCTTAGTACCGAGCGATGTATTTTGCTGAGTCTCTTGCTAAGTCCTTTGCGAAGTACTCAGCAAGAGACCTCTGAGTATTCAGGAAGTGTCCGGCAAGTCGAGCTAAATAGCTCGTCGTCCTTCGCGACGTACGTGACAATTTTCTTCACAGTCAGCCAAGTCCTTCTTGAGTCAGCGATGTATTTACACGAGCCCTTGTCCACCCAAGTGGAGGCCGTTATCCGTTAGAGACGCCAAGAGTTACAAAATCATGGCGTCGGAGATCTGGGGGGGGCACTTCTGCGAGCAGCCGGCGAGCGGGAAGCTGCTGGAGCGCTACTGCCCGGAATTCTGGGGCAACGTCGGGCAATAGGCTCAGAGGGTCCGCCGGTTCTGGCTGACCGCGCTTCGGCGCGACAGGCTAGCCACGCCGTGGTTCCCGAGCGTGAGCGTCCCGAGCCTTCCCGAGCCTTCCCGAGCCTCCCAGCTCGCGGGTGGGAGCGACACGCTGTCCGCCTGCAGGGCATCGCCGGTCGCCGGAGCCGTCGCCGCGACACGCCAAGCCAAAGATCCCAGCCGTGACTCCAGGCCTCCCAGATGGGGTCAGAGCAGATGGGGTCGAAGGATCGCCCAGCTTCATCGGCGATGCCGCTCGGTGTGAAGCCAGCTTTCATCCGCGCCGTCGCCGATCATCGCCGACGTCGCCGATGTGATGCATCGGGGATGTGGCGCGATCGTCCGACCCCATCTGTTCGGGGTGGACTTTCATGTCATCCGCTTTCGCGTCGTTCTCTTCCGATTCGCCCTTTTTCTGTTCGGCCTCGTTCGTTTCGTCCTCTGTCGAATCTCGGACGAGTTGAGAGCGGGCGAAACGAAGCAGACGAATCGAAGCGGACGAATATCGAGTCGACGCGGAGTTTTGTGTTGGCAGACCCCACTTGGGAGACCTCAAACCGTGGTGGTTGTTCTCATAGCCTGCCCTGCCCGGCGGGGAGGGGGAGGGAGAGAGGGAGGGGAGAGGGTGAGGGAGGGAGGGAGGGAGGGAGGAAGGGGGAGGGATGGAGGGCGGGAGGGAGAGGGAGTGGGAGGGAGGGATGGGGAGGTATGGAGGGAGGGGGGAGGGAGGGAGGGAGGGGGAGGGAGGGAGGGAGGGAGGCTGCCCCTCAGGACTGCCCCGAGTGCAGGGACCCCGACACGGGCGCCTTCTGCCGGGCCGGCTGCGACGGCGCCGCCGCCTGCGGGGGCGAGCTGCGGGCTGGCGACCTGCGCGCCTGCGCCCCGCGCGGGGGCGGCGGGGGCTGCCTCGCGCGGGACGTGCTGCCAGCCTGAAGTTTCGCATGCAACTCCTGTCAAGCAGTGGCGAAGCGTCCCGGCTCGCCTATAGCCCCACCAAGCAATGTTCTAAGAACTTGTTGTGGTTCCCACGAAATGTTCTTAGAACATTTCTGGCTAGGACCGTCCTGTTTTGACACATCAGGTCAAGGTTCTAAGCACATTGTTTTTGTTATTTCGAACATTTTGGGGTTCTAAGAAGATTCCGTGGTATGACTATAGGAATGCTGGGACGGTCGGTCCCTGCTCAATCCTGGGAGGCCAAATTCTGATTCCGCCCTGGTCCGACATTCGGCTGCATCCAGCTAAATCCAGCCTAGTCCTGCTGGATCCCCTGTAATCCCGCTTCATCTGGCGTCATCCCGCTTGTAGTCCGAGGCCCACTCCGGCGCAACAGCCGCCCAATGGGGCTGAATCCTCCCTCATTCTTCCGACGAAGACCTCCCAGCAGTTGCTTCCTGATGAAGCTCTATAGCCTCCCAGATGGGGTCCAAGGAGGACGCTGTTTTTGTTCCAGGCTCCAGCGAGAACCTGCGCCATCGGGCCCGTCCGCACCCCGCACCCCCTCCGCCCCGGATGACCTGACCTTATGTCGGATGCGCAGGTCTGGAGGCGCTACGCAGTACTGTTACCAGCCTCGAACGTATCCCTATCCTTAAGATTGACACGCCAAAAGGCGATGACAATCTTAGGGGTTCGCCCTCAAAGCATAAGGGAATCCCTAAGATTGGCATCGTGATGAGGAGGTGCCCGGCATAGGGATAGGGATGTGTTCCAGGCTGGTAATATTGCTGCGCGCGGGCATGCGTGGGGCTGCTCGTAGCGAAAAGGTCAGGTTATCGGCCGGCACCTCCCCCCGTGCCCGCCGGATCACCCAGGATATATCGCCCGATGTTCTTCACGTCGGCCTCACCGGCGCACTGCGTACGCATCGCATGCGAACCGCCGATGTATCGCCGATGTATCGTTTGTGCGGCGCGACCTTCCGAGTTCATTTGCACGGACCCCATGTAGGAGGCCTCTAGACTTTCTACCAGTCTGAAGCCCACCATCTTCGGGGAGACGTGCGACTCGGTGTCGCCGGAAATTGGCTTTGCCGACTCGTTTTGGCGCGTCCGTCTTGGGCGTTGACTGTCCAGTTCCCGTGTGATGCTTTCAGCGGGAGCTCGACTGGGCCTTGCCATTTTTCTCAGGCCGAACGAAAGGGGGGTATAGTGAAAGGGGGGGGTACGAAATCTGCTGCATGCAGCTGGTTTCGGCCCCGCCGCCGGGCCCATTCCTCGATACATGCGCGCCTCCCGGCGCCTGGAGGTGCCAGGAAAATCAGCTACGTTTGCTGATTCCCAACCCCCCCCTTTGCTATCCCCCTCTTTCGCCCGGCCCCATTTTCTGACGGCCCAGTCAGGCCGTCTCGAGTCCTCCGAACTCCATTTGCCCGTCTCCCTGCTTACCAGAACACCCCAACCCAACCCGAAGCTCGCTGACTCCCCGTTAACTTCGGGCCGGGGGACCCACGAGTTCCATTAAAAGACAAGCTCCGATCAGACTGGCATCACCCGGGGCCTGTCAATCGTGGGAATACGGACCCAGCGATCCGATGTCTCGTTTTTTTGTCAAAGCGGGGTCCTTGCACGTCCCGACCCTTCCCTCAGGGTCGGACTTTCGTCCCGAGTCGTTGCTTGGTTGTCCCCGGGCCCGTCCAGGCCCCCCTGAGGCTGAAGACGTCCAAGCACTGCCCGTCGTGGTTTTTCACGACGCATGCGTGTCCTGCCACCCTCGTCAAAATTTCACCTCAGAAGTTGCTGGCACGTCATTTCGATTTCGGCGCGCCCCTCAATGTCGACACGCCGCCCATTCAATGTCGGGGCGAGGGCAAAGATAGTCTGCCCGAAGTGGACTCGAAAGCTTGACGTCGACCGACACTGGAGGGGCGGCGCATGCAAAAGTACCCCCCGCACTCGTCGATACTCGGCCCCAGATCTTCCGACAAGCAGTTCAACCACGTCAGACATTTTTGAGGTTAATTTTGACGAGGGTTGTTCAGAGCCCCGAATCATCAGGGGTAACTCGGGTCAGGGATAACTCGGGTTCGTTTTTCGGGAATCCAAACCCGAGTTACCCCGGACCCGAGTTACCCCGGATAACTCGGGCGCCCAGAGCCCCGAATCATCAGGGATAACTCGGGTCAGGGCTAACTCGGGTTCCTTTTTCGGGAATCCAAACCCGAGTTACCCCGGACCCGAGTTACCCCGGATAACTCGGGCGCCCAAGTTGTGGGATGAGCTGGATGCTGCTCAGGACTGGGCCGCTGTCGGCCAGTGCCCCTCGAGCTGCGCCGCGTGCCCCGGCTGGGCTGCGCGCGCGGACGGCGCCGCGCTGTGGCTGTGGATCCTCGCCCTGTCGCTGCTGGGGCCCGCCATGCTGCTGTGCCTGCGGAGGCCAGCCGCGGGCGAAACTCTCGGGGGCGGAAAAGAGGGGGGTGATGACTAGGGGGGGGGGGATATCATGGCGTGGGCCATGATATTTCCTCAAATTTCATGGCGCCTCTTCTTATTTCATTGCGTACCTGGCCCCCCCGCTGGGCCGCGCACATGCCGCCGGTCATGATTTGCACCCCCCCCTCTTGGACACCCCCCTCTTGGCCGCTCCCGAAACTCACCAGCCTCGAACGTATCCCCATCCCTAAGAGTGACACGACAAGAGGCGATGACAGTCTTATAGGGCTTCGCCCTCAAAAGATAAAAGGGACTCCCCAAGATGGGCATATCGTGACGTGGAGGTGCCCGGCATAGGGATAGGGATGTGTTCCAGGCTGGTAAAGAAATGCCGGGATACGCGGCACCTCGGCGGCGCGCGCCGAGGGGGTGGAGCGAAAGGGGAGCATGCGGGCTCTCTCGGAAGGCTGCGGGCGGGGCTCCCGCACGTCCGACGTCCCGATGTGTGTCGAGACGGGCATCCCGACCTCCCGACCACATCCCCCGGACCGGCTTCGCATCCCGAGTCGTGTGTCGACGGTCCGGAGGCCTGGCGAGGGCCCCCCAGAGGGCAAGAACTAGGAGAAACAAAAGTCCGCCTCGATGATGTTCGAGGCGCCCGACGTCTGGGCTTCTCAGAAGCCGCCCCGGGAGCTCTCGGGACGCTCCGCGGCAGGCCGAAGGGCCCTCCGAGCCTCCCGAGGAGGCCCGCCGTCCAAAAGAAGCTCTCCGTGCGGCCTCGGAGAGAACCCTCGGGAGCGCTTCGCGGAAGGCCGGCGGCCTGCCGAGCCTTCTGAGGAGGCCCGCCTACCTGGCCTCCGAGGCGGGAATTCATCCATATCCACCGCCTGGAGGCCATATCCATATCCACATCCACATCCATCCATATCCATCCATATCCATCCATATCCATATCCATCCATATCCACATCCATATCCACCGCTTTCGGAGCCTCGGCGGGCGTTGGATATCATACACATCTTCGGGCCCCCTTGGGGCCGGCACCTGTCCACATCCGCCGCCCGCGGGGGCACCAGGACGTCGGCTCCCGGGCGGCGGATCTGGACACCTCCCCGCCTCGCACGGCTGCCCCCCCGGTCGCGCCGCCGAGCTCTTTTTGTTCCTTGCACCGCCGGCGTGGCCGACGCGTCGGCGATGTGGCGCGCCCTTCCCGGCCCCAGCCGCGCGGGCTCCGTGTCCCGAGGGCGAGCGAGGGGGGGGAGCGAGAAGGTGAAGGCCCTCTCAGAAGGCGGTCGGTCAGAGCCCCGAATCATCAGGGGTAACTCGGGTCAGGGATAACTCGGGTTCGTTTTTCGGGAATCCAAGCCCGAGTTACCCCGGACCCGAGTTACCCCTGATAACTCGGGCGTCCAGAGCCCCGAATCATCAGGGATAACTCGGGTCAGGGCTAACTCGGGTTCCTTTTTCGGGAATCCAAGCCCGAGTTGCCCCGGACCGGAGTTACCCCGGATATCTCGGGCGCCCAAGTCGGGCTTCTCAGAAGCCCGACCGCGCCTTCTGAGAAGTCTTCTCTGTCTTCGGGGGAGGCTTCGAGAACTTCTCAGAAGGCCTGGGGACTTCCGAGCCTTCTGAG